CAATAGATGGCACCTTGCTATTGAATCAGCAAGTGATGGACACTTCCATGGGTTGTTATGGATGCTATGGATTTGTTGATATAGATGAGTTAACTTCACTCAGGACTCAAAAGTATGTTGATACTAAAGATTTCTGGTCCTTTCTGCTAAAAATCTATTTTCTAAATCTTATATGAGGCAATCATATTTCTCCTACTGCACATCTATTCAACGAGGTTCTATCAGATCTGTACCTTGGGCAAAAGCATTCTCCTCACTTCATACCTAAGTTTTGGTGCATAGTTGCAGAACACATCTAAAATTCTGTTTTAACTCACTCAGACTCAACTACATTTCAGCTGGAAAAAAGGGCAGTTGCTGCATATCTGGTAATTATTGGAATCTTCAGAGGAAGGAAGAGGAAGGGTAGGGAATGAGAAGAGTGATATCTTACCCACAATCATTTTCTCTTAAATCACAACTTGCAAAATTGAAAACATATGCCACTGAAAAGATAAACATTTTTGTCACCTATCAAATGCTTCAGCAATTTTCCACAGTATAATCTAATGCAGAAGGTGTGTTTATTTCCTCTTATTTGTGCAAGACAAAAGAAACCACTTCAATCACCAAAGGTGGTTGTGAACAAAAATTACATCCTGATAAACCCAGACACTAACCCAGGCCCATAAACACTTCTCTATGTTACTACCTTACAGTTAGAATTTTAGCCAACACTTTTGTTTTCACTTGTTCAAAGCATATTTTATACTTTTTCACTGCAGCTATTATACATTTCTTCACTTGAACACCTGTTGAACTAAACTTGTTTTGCCAGAATATTTTTAATTATGCAATCTCTATTCTGTCAATGGCAAGCACTTGGGTAGAATTTCTTATATACCTTTCAACATACCCAGCAGACAATTAAGAACTCAGTGTACAGATATATTTGCCAACTGAAATGGTAGTGAAACAAGTTTAATCAAGTGATCTTGACTAACTTTTAGCAAAGAATCACAATTTTTTTCCTCATCATTTTACCGCTTCAAAATACCACTGCTACTTAGAAATTTTTATTGACTCAGTCATTCACACAATCTGCAATACATGCCTGACTTGCATAATAATTTAGGCAATAGTTCCATTAATACTTGAACACTTTCTTTTCATGGGTAGCATAATGAATGCCAAATTTGCCTCCAGCTTTTATGAAAATTTGATTTTGCAGGGAAAATCTTGACCCATTGAAGCCAACAGAAGTTCTCTGTTGGCTTCAATGGGATTAACATTTCCCTATATTTGTATACATGCATTCTCTCTATTTAGTGATGAGTATTCCAATTATATGTGTGCTGTACACAAGGTTAACGCACAGAATAAGTCTAATTAAGAGAAATGTCTTTGGCTTTGTGTTTGCTGAGTGATACTATAAATGTAGATACTTAGACAAGCATTGTGTGGAACCCCCTCCAATTCTGTAAGGATAAAATGGTGAGATATTTGTGCAATGCAAGGTGCCACCTGACATTTACTTTTAAACTTATCAACATATGCAGGTTTCATCAGAGGAAGGACAAAAACACTGTCTCTGCAACAAATTTCGTGAAATAAATTTTTTCAAATAATCACCACTTCCAGAATGATGATAACCTTTTTGGGAAAAGGCTATTAAGCTCATACAGGAATGGGGAAACCCATTACTTTCTTTTAGAGGCTGCTGGATTGGCAGCACTATTGCGCAGGCACACTGCTGCGGATTGTAGCTGTTGTATGAAACTCCACATAATGCTTTTGATCCATTTTATCTTGCAACTTAGCAAAGAAATGTTGCAATAAGAAACACCAACAAAGATCTGAAAAACTTAAGCTCTGGATTACCATATTGTGTTCTCCTGCCATTCAATGTGTCAGACAAAGGCAGTGGTGTTCAAAGTAGAAAAAGAAAAAAGAAAAAAGAAACTGGTCACAGAAAGTGCAGAGCACAGAGTAAATAATATTCCTCCACATCCCTACTCTTTCATAGATTTGTTGTTAAAAGAGTTGCAGCAATTAGGCTTTTGTTAATTACCAGCTGTTGAAACAGATGTGTTGACTGTCCTTATTAGCCAACAGCTGGGACAGGAGAACAATTGATGCTCTCTAAAACCAACAGCCAGCTGCTTTGCAGTAATTATCTCCTATCGATAATACAGGTGATAAAGGCAGCAAAAAGGTTATGAGCTTCAATAAGCAAGGTACTGTTATTGAATATAACTGGAATTTATGGTTAATTTTAGAAAATGAATAAAACAGTAAGTAGCTATGTTTGCAGTAGCTTCCTATCTGCATTGTGTCAAGGTCAAGCAATATGCAAATAATAGGGGAAATACAACCAGGAAAAAAAAAATATAACAAAAACACCCTGCAGTGTTGTTTGGGTTTTTTTTGTTGTGCTCTTTTTTGTTTGGGTTTTTTTAGTTTGTTTTTAACCATCTTACTATATTTCCAATGTATTGCTGGTCTTTAAGGTGAATAAGACTAGATGTCATTCAAGATTAACTCATTTTCCCTCTATGCCTTTTCTTGCATTCAATTTTACTATAAATTACTTTTTGGAATGTGAAGATGGTCATTCCTACCTGTTGGAAAATTTTATTGTACAATATGTAGTAAGATATGATAAACAAATGATTAAAGAGGGGGGGCATCCCTAGAGAGATTTAGGTCCTAGTTTCAGGCATGCCATCAATGCTTAAGGAAATTCACCTCACTTCGTGGAATTTAGTTTCCCTAGCACTAAAATTGGAGAACTATGTTTATCTTGATCAATCACTTTGTGATTAATGACTTTAACATACTATTCAAATGCAAAGTAATGCTTGCATAATACATTACTGTAACATGAAAAAAATTGCATGCTTTTCTAGTATTGATATACATCAAAGATTATAAAAAGAATAGTTCTTTTAGAAGCATGGGGCCAGTCTTCCATGAATGAGAACCACAAGTGTAACTGCTAATATCTAAATGGAATATATCAACATAGGTAGTTGGATGGTTTGTATTTACCTTTGCTCCTGCTTTGATTTATATTTTCTCATCTCGATACCCTATTTAAAGTGCATTAAAAGAAAAGCAAAGCAGAGACTTTAAACCATTTCTATTAGCTGCTCAGTTCATCTCAAGCCAACAAAAGACATGCCTACAAGAATCTACAACCATGTCTATTCACTAATTAGTCTGCACTTAAAGACACTGCCTTACTGAAAACAAGGATTAAGGCTGGTTGAATACTTTCCCTTTCATAGACCTCCCTTATGTCTCTGTTGGGTCATCATAAGCAGCTTGTTCTCTGAGCTTTAAGTAGGGGAGCTTGACAATCAGTTCGGGGCTCATCAGTAGGCACTGGAGCAATTAACAGGAGCTACCAACATTTTAAGGGACACATAAAGAAATTAACTAGTGAAAAAGTTTCAACAGGAACAGGCAAAAATGTATCATATTCCCGTGGCAGCTATGTTAAGAAAGATACACTGCAGGATACATTACCTTTTTATTTCAAAATAAAGCAAAACAATGTACTTCCCAGTTCCCACTTCAGATTCAAAAGAAAAAACCACGTCATTATAGCAAGAAAATTGACATGGATCCTTGTACGCACTTCCTCACATCTATTAGTAGGAATCCACAGCAGGCTATAAAAGGAACAGAAAACTGACCACTAGGCTCATGTTATCTAGTTTTCAAACAATGCTAAAAAAGATGGGAAAAGGGAAGGAGAAGGAATGGTTTTAAGCAATGGTTTTTCATTTGCTTTTCATTCTTTCCTTATTTCTCTAGCTGCTTCTCTCTATCCTTGCACTGTTTTCAGGCCGTTACACTGGGTTTTCCCCTGGAAGGCAAAACTTGGCTCTTTTCCTTTTGTTAGTCATCCATGAATGAGTTGGGAGGGTAGTTAAGGAGAGGAGGGAAATGGTTTCATTTTGGTCTCACTCTGCTTTGGTCTACCAATGGAAAATTAACATTTACGCTGTGCCAACGAGAAGCTAATTTGAGCAACGGACAGAACAGGGCTCCTCTGCCTTAGGAAGAGAGCTGGAGAAAGTTTTATATCCGATGTGGAAAGTTATTACCTAAATTCAGGATATAAATCAGGAAATTCTTCTGAGCTGGTGTTCTGCATGGGTTTCCATGGCAGAAACTACCACAAAGCAAGCAGGAACTTGAAGCCTTCAAGAAGAAAATGACTGTGAACGTTGCTTCACCTCAGCCAAGGCATATTCTAGGGAACTTTCAAACTACATGTGTGCAGCAAGGGCCTCTGCTGCCTAAATCCCACAGTTGGGATGACTTGTTCAACAAGCTTGTGAAGTGGTCGCAACTGGCACTGTATGCCTGCAGAATTAGCCATCAGCCCCTACTCTAAGAGCAGAAAAACACCCTAGGGTGTGTACTGCGTGGCCGCTGGCATGCTGTCAGAGCTGAAAGCACCTGGACTTTGGTCTTGTGTCTTGCAACAGTCACAGTCTGGTTACACACGGCTTTGTGGACTCACCATCTAATTACAGCAACACCACCCAGCCAAAAAACAGACCTAAAAAGATCTGAATTAACACATGAATCAGACACATTCTGTCTGTTGAGGCCTGTCGTGAACCTCTGCTGCACCGGGGCACAACAAATCTGTCCCAGTAAATTTAATCAAATATATTTCAGTGTCTTGGTATCTACCTTCCTAACAGAACCTACTGTACACAACCTGTAATCAACACACAGTGTGTTTCTTTTTGTATTTTTTTTTTTTTTTAAATAAAACATCTAGAGACAGCCCAATTCCCTGAGAATGCCCAGGCTTCCCTGAGAAGTTGAAGGCTGCTACCTGAAACAAAACTTTTCTGATATCTCATAAAATCTTCGTAAATGTGACAATCAAGCACTCAAGAAAATTCACCTGGCAACAGCTGCATTGCAACAAAGTTACTGCAGCAACAAGTAACGTCACAGTGTTAATAATTGACAAGGAAAGAATGAAAAGGTGAGCAAGGGATAAAGAGGACAAAGAAAAGATTTCAGTATAAACTTCTACTGGTAAGTAATCAATCAAAATTAAGATTGAAAGAGTTGGTATGAACGTTATATTGAAAGCTAAAGTGAGTTTGATATCTTGGAGTGCTGAACGGGGCTTGTAAAACTCCATTTTCTGCAACCTGATTTGCAAAATTTGACAAACAAATCCCCCACTGATTTGAATCTACTTTCATTCAATTCCCCCAAGAAACTAAAGCAAATGCAGGAACAGTGGCTTCTCGTGTTTGCTGTATGCAGGGAAAGCCCTGTGCCATTCCTGGTTCTGCAGGTTAAGGCAGGAATTAGCAATGCCGTGGTAATGAATGAGTTTCTTGATTTACATAATCTAACAGAAGACCACTCCCCTTGGAGGGAGGAACTACATCCTAGAGACACTGTTTAGAAGAAGCTGTTTCAGATGACTAAAATATCAACAGCCTCGGGTGAAATGGACTACTATCTTAATATCCACCACTACTACTGCTGGAGGTCAAAGCAGCAGGAAAAACTTTTGAAAATACAAGTTAAGTATTAAGAAATCAAGATTTGTTTCCTCAAATCATGATTTTTCTGCATTCCATATGATTGACTTTTGACTTTTATATTAAAACTAGAAATTATCACTGTATCATTCATACCAATATAGCTTTCCCCTTTGCCCAGAATTGTGGCAACTGGTAAAATTTAACTGTTTTCTACAAGAGATATTCCCTAAATTTAATTCAATTATCAGAGTTAATAAAATAAATAACGTGCACTAAAAGCAAATACTCCAAAAGAGTGTACTCACAAAATTAAGGAATTGGTTTTTAGTGAAATTGGTAGCCATTCAGTTCATGATTTGTGAAGATACACTGAAGACCCATAATTTCTCAAAGATGGATATCCAGCTACACTACACCCCTTGAGGGGTGTAGAAATAAATTTTAGAAATAAAGTGTTAATTCATGTCAGCTCTTAGGGATATTTTAACAGCAGCTGAATGGAGATGACATCAATAGGCCATGGTTTTTCAAAATATCAAAATCTTCTAGCAAAGAGTTAGTGATAACTTATGAAATGTAAATAATTATAGATGACCTGTAACTGTCAAAAGTATGTCATAGGATTATTTACAGTTCACTGGACTTAGTTACCTGCTTATGCCTTATGCTGCTCCCATTGAAGTCAAAAGTTATCACAGTAAGTTCAGTAGGCATGAGGGGTTTCCTTCTGGTCTAGTCACTAACAAGTTATCACTGTTGGCAAGAAATAATGAGCTTCTTATTTCCTACAAAGATTAATTAATTTTTCAGGCTTCAAGAAAATGATACTTCTACAGTCAAAGAAGCATTATTTAATACTCAGACTGTCTGCTGAGGCTTCATGGTGTGACATAAATTTAAAATACAATTTATTATAAAACTTAGATTTCTTTTTAATTTACTGCACTGTGGTATTCTGAAAAAATCTGAGAACTTTATCCAGCATCAAGGTGATATATAACCTTCCACAGTCTTACTTTTTACATCAACAAGACTGCAGTTGAATTGCCAGTTTCTCTGAAAATAAGCCCTTTTATATAAAACAAAATTTCTGTCTCTTCTAGATAAACTGCTAGCTCAGAATCAGTTATCAGTAATGGTTTTTCAAACTCTAGGAAATGTCTCCTTTGCCTGAGTTACCTCCAAACCCCTTTACTTGTCCTGCTCTCTTAAAAGGTGTTTTTATTTCACACATACATTATTTTTCAGGACTTTTTTTTTGAGTCCTCCTTATATTATATTTTGGGGAACTATTGTCAGGAATAATTGTTTCCTAGTAGCTACAATTATCGTATATAATTATAATAATTTAGCATTTAAGTTGAAATATTTGTTGCTACAAACACTGAAACCAACTGCTGGTATCTACAATAAACTTCACAGCTCAGTAAAAAAACACAGTAAGTAAATATTGATTGACAAATTCAAAGTATATTTGATAATAAAAGTATCTTGCTATTTCATTATTGCTGCACTGAATCAAATTATTATTTTTAAATAATATAAATTTGCAAAAGTTTGTAAAAAAATACAATAATTTAAACTAACCATTCATAATCTTTAGTACATCATAAATGTGTACATCATACACATTTTGCACTTATTATCCCACAGGAAGACCATAAGTAACACTTCTGAGGAACAAAGATTAAATCAAGAATATTGACTAGAAAAATATCCTGTGCCAACATACATTTTAGGAATTTAATTTTATGAACAACATTTTGTTAGGAAGGGAAGTAATGCCTTTACACTTAATATTTTTACATACAAGAAGGGGAAGGACAATGCTAGAGAACCTGTCTCAAGGTTAGCCTAATCTCCTAAACATGTATCTTAAAGAAGTAGATATCATTACCAACTGATTAAGGAAAAAAATAAACATAGCCCTGGATTTCCAGGGAACACGTCTTTACCCTGTTTCATTATAAACAATGAAGGACAAAAGTCAGACAACCTCTTACTGTTCAATGCATTATCAAGCTTTTGACAGAAGCCCATTAAACACACCACATCTTGAGAAGTTCTTGGCTCATTTGAAGCGTAAGGAGCTGCTCTTTGCCAGCCAGAGTCACCCCTGTATCACTGCTATATCCATAACACGTTTTTACTGAGGTGATCTGGGGGACAGGACTACTAGCTCTCACCAGTGACTAATAAAGCAAATCAAGACCTGGTCCAAATTCAGTCACTCAATTCAGAAATGCAACTTTACCACAGTTGAGGCTTGATTTAATATTTATTTTGAAGTACTACAAGTAGAGGAGAAACACGGTATTATGTACAGCTACATGTTAACACTGTATATCTATGGAGGTGTAGGCCACACACACACCCCTAAACCTATCTGTGAGTGTACCTTTCTACACAGACCTATGGGTATAATTACATACACAAACATTACATACAAAGAAATGATGCCACTAATCTCCCCTGCCTTCAGCCCCCTAAGGTTTAAGTGAAGCAAGCACTTCCAAGGAACATTTCACCTACCTTCTGCATTTATTTTTAGGGAAGAAGAACTACCTTGAGGTGAAGTCCCCCTCTTTGTATTGACTATAAATTGAGCCCCAACAACTGGCAGCTAAAGATGGTTGAGTGAACCACTTCCTTGACAGGGCATTAATAAGGTCATGCAGTCAAGTACAGAGATATTAGGAAAAGCCAAAGGTAAGGCTACTGGTAACACGCATCATGATTCTACTTTTAATGATCACTTTTTTTTCCAGACTTCTTTCTAATTGTTTCATGGGCATGAATCAGCCCTGCCCAGTGAAAGAGCCTGTTACGTGTTTATTCCTGTTTCTTTTGTGGCAGCCGTTGGAATGTGACTGCAGTAAGAGAGAAAATGCACCATATTTAATGGAGCTGAGTGCTGCTCAGCAGTTGTGGAATCTTTCTATCCTTTGGCCAAGGCACCCCAGCACGAATTAACTGAAAGTTTTCAGAGGGATTCATAGTAGGTTACCCATTTTCTGACTGCAAGATAAATCCCTCATGTCTAATCTGCAGAAGTACCACGCACTCACAGCTGCAACTGAAGTCAATGGGAGACAGAACATAAATACTATATAACGCCCCCACATCAGAACTCAGAGGAAATTACTGAAGTCTTCAACCACACTGAAAACAATTCAGAGGAAAAGTAAAATGTAAGTGACTATCCACAGTTATCACAAGTGAGAAAGTTTATTTCCAGCATTTTCTACCTGCCATCCATGACTGAAAAGAAGTAGATTTCGATCCATGAAACAGCACATCACAGTGAAAGAAGAGACTGTATGAACAGGACGGCCTACACCACACAAGTAGGAGGCTAATCTTCTCAGTTGGAAACTAGCTGGAGCAGCCAGGATATTAAATCAGCAACACAAGGGGAGGTTATTTGGAAGGCAAATGAGGTACATGCTCAAATTCAGCACCTAACGAGCAAGTTGAACCAATGTGGCAAAGAATATAATGAAAAGAATCTCTTCAATTGTTTATGTATTGATCCTGGGAATCTGGGTAAGCAGCAAGAGGAAACTCTCATTGATGAGAATAAGTTTTATATAACCAGAATTACTGCAACCTGATGGACAACTGGCTTGTTAAAATCTCTGATTAAGAGGAAGGATAAAACAGGCAGTAAGGGAAAAGGAAACCTTAAAAAAACCCACCATGCTGTTATTCCTTTTAGAGTGATCAGTAACACAGGACCACAGCTCCTGAATACTTAGGGGTAAACACATTAACTAACATAACTTAAGAAAGACTTGCTGATTAGCAAATTAACTTGGGCACAGGACAAGTTTTTCTTCTGCATGTATTTATAACCTTTGGAAAGAAAAATAGAGCTACTATAGGCAACTTCAGTTTAGGACATGTATTCCCAGAGTCTTATGTGGACAATTATAAAACAATATTATATGCCTTCAAAACCCATATATCGTTTATAAGCATGAGGTAAACAGTCTCATTATAACACAAGAGATGTTAATCACTGTACTGGAGATCGATAAATACTTAAGTCATACTAAATTGATTTGAAACATGGGAAAAAGCAACCAGAACCTTTACATGCACAGAAACACTCAAATAAGTACACAAAATACTTCTAAACTGGGAGAAAAAATTGGGTGGGTATAAAAAAACTCTGACCTCACAACCAAGTGAAAGTAGAACTTTTTATGTAGAAAGTAAATAGCATAAACCTATGATAAAAAGTCACAAACTACTGGGGAAACAAGTATAAATACATCCTAAAAGGTAGAAGTTCTGAAGTGATGCCAATTGATAAGAGTAGCTAAAAGCATCAGGGAAAAATGCATTGTTGGCAGGACTACAGATAATAAGGGTTTCTTATTATGAGAGGAACAGTGAATGTGTAAGCCCATCCAGTCTGGAATACCTATACCATAAATTGTAATTAAGAAAACCCACCAGGAACATTCAGTATATATGTTGGTGTGTCTTTGGAAAAAACAGGATGATACAGTACAGTTGATGTAGAACTAATAAGCACTTTTCTGTTTAGGAGAAATCAAAGAGGGATAAGTTTTACATTTACAGTTTCATACAAGTTTCACTTCAGGTGTCACACGGTTGTTTGAGAAGATCCTTGTTAATCCATCTTAAAATACTAGCACATTCCCAAAGATTGTAAGAGCAGTAGTAATTTGTCAATATTAAAAAATAAGGACTTGTGGCATTAGAACTGGGCCAAATATGTGAAATCACTGGATTCAATTAATACAGATTTTAATGAAAATATAATTTCTCCCAGTCACTATGCTTTTTGTGTGAAATAGGTCTTGCCAAACAAATCTGATTTCCTTCCTTAATGAGATTAGAAGCGGATGTTGTAGAGATTTGTTAGAATTTGACTCGTCAGACATAACCAACCAAAAAAAAATGTCTCACTACACAGCATCAAGAAAAAAAATTCTTAAGTGGGTTCAGAATGGGGTGACAGTTAAAAAAGCACCAAAACCGAGAGGGAATTGTCACTAGTATTAGAATACTAGTAAGGTTGCACAGGTGTCAGTACCAGGCACTCTGGTATACTCCTAGAATAGGATACTCAACGTATCCTTCAATTACTCAGAACCAGGTGGACACAGCTAGTCATGTTCACAAACAACAGAGAAAGTAAATAAATAATGATGACGAAATAGTGTTCTGGGCCAATTGGTAGCCAGGCATAGTCAAATCAAGCGTATTTTAATAAAACCAAATGCAAAACTCAGTCTAAGAACAGCAAAAACAGGCTACACTTACAGAAAGGGTAACCATATTCTGAAAAGCACCAATGCTAAAGAAGTTTTGGGATGGCAATATAAGGTGACAGTATAATGCTGTGGAAAAACTGGGAAAATGCAATCTTTTGGTGTATACACAATAAAATAGTAATATCTCCACAAAGCAATTAAGGTGATTCTACTTTACATCCAACACTGAGAAACAATGAGTATGTAAGAATGCACGTGCATCTGTGTCCACATTCTAAAAGAAAAGGATGTTAAAAACCCAGAGAAGATGTGGAAAAGAGCCATACTGGTAATGCAAGCACCAGAGAAAAAGGTATGTAGTGATAGGTCTTATTCTGTTCAGATTATGAAAACCCCAGAGGAGATGCCTACTCAGTAGATCTACAGAATTACATGTGCTAATTATGAACAAGGTAAATCAAGTATCAGGAATGGAATAGTTTTGTCTTGCTACTGATTTACCCTGTCCCTCAATAAATGGACAGAAAATACAGGATATGAAAGAATTTTTAATCTAGTTGTATAAGCGTAACTTGAATCACTAGAACAAATTATCAAAGGGAAATGGTGGTCTCCCCACCTCTTGGAATTTTTACATCAGACCTAGATACTTTTCTGGAAAACACGTTTAAACAAACATAAGTTTCTGGGCTAGATACAGGGAAAATTGATGAAATCAATGATCTGTGATATTCAGAAAGCCAATTAAATTACATAAAAATATCTCCTGGTCTTGGCCTTAAATGCCAGGGATTTATGAGTGACAAATATTCTAAAAGGTAAAGTCTTGTATGTTTCAAATAGGCATGCAAAATTTGTGGGTGCTTATGACCTTAATTTCTTCATGCCTTGGTTTCCCTGCGAAGCATGAAGAAAACATTCCTGCAGGAATTCATTAAATCTTTGTTTATTAAACCTTTGGTTTTTATAACGTTGAATACTACAGAAAATCCCCATGATGGTTACTCAAAATTCTGTTTTCAGCGAAAGGTTTGAACAGTATCCAGTAAACAAGGGATTGGCACACATAATGAACAAAGAAGATAAAAAAATATATTGATTGGCTGTTCTCTGGATACTGTGTAGAGCAGGAATGCTGTGAAATAAAGCACACATGATCCTGTAATGAAAAATGTTAACATACTGTTTCAGGGGAAAGGGGAGTAAATGAAGATGCTTGCTTCAGAAATGCCAGTACTGAGGTTAACTCTTGATTAACTGGCTACTTCAGAGCAGCTTTTTGCACATATAGCAAATAACACTGTACAATTGTGCACATACACAATACTCATAATTATCGTCTAAATAACCTGCCTTCCTGAAAGGACACATGTTCTGATGAATAACTTTGCTGAAAGCTTGCCCTATCATGCACTCCTTAAATCCCCTGCAATTTGTCAACTTTGAATGCAATACTTCTCCAGGGGCTACCAATGAGCTTTTCACATCTTGCCCATGTCATCCATTTTCCGCTTGATTAGTGGGGACCTGAAGTAATCTTTCTGCTTCACAGAACAACTAAAGCCAACATACACGAGAATACCAGTATCTTAGGTACAGCTCTTAGCATGGGACAAAGGTCTCTGGGGATGTTCAGGCTCTTGTTGGCCCAATGAAGTGGCTGAGACAGATGAGGAAGAAACAAACATCCAGGCTGAAAAAAGGAAGGATAAGTTAGGAAAACAATGAGGGGAGACAAAAGAAAACATTTTTGAGAATGGGAAACAGAAGAAAGCTGCGTGATGTTGAAGGTATGGTGTAAGATGTGAGAAGAGAGAAGTAATAACTTGTACAGAAACATGGAAGAGAAGAATGCAAAGCTCAATGCTTTTTTCAGAGGTAGATCAAAAGATGGAAGGAGTAGAACATAATATGAGAATAAAGATAGATATTTTTTCACATCTCGTTTTCTTTTATGTAACAAAATTTCTGTGATTTTTTTAATATTTAGCTTTTTTGAACTTTTTTGTTTTGAAGTATTTGCATAAACAACATGCATTTGAACGTTGAAATATTAAACAGATTATTCTTCTAAAGATAAATAAGTGAAATTATTAAGTATCTGAAAATAAGACACACTTCTCTTTGCTTTCATTAAAAATACAAAAAAGTAATTTTTGGTATTTTCTTCCAAGTCAGGTGCACCACTGAATGAATCTTTGACTACAAAAGTGAATGAGTTTACTATGTAAAAATACAGATGCCAGTATCTTTTCAACATCAAATTAATTCAAGTACCATCTTCACTACTCCCCCCAAAACTGTCAGAGATCAGTTGGTGTTTATGCTATTAAAAACTAATGAAAGGTGTAGACTTTAATTTGATAAGTTAAAACCCCTTCAAGGCTTAATGTCATCACTTTAAATGTAGCATAAAAAGAGCAACAGAGAGAAATGATTGAAGCTCTTCACCATGGCTGTACTACTCTTGATAGATTTAAAATTTGCACTTCTGCTACCAGATGCAGTATTTTGATATATAAAAGAAAAAAAAATAAGAAAAAAGTTCATAATGACATTAAAATGTTTGCAATTCATTAGGCAAAATGGTTTCTTTAAAAGACAGTATAAAACCCCAGTAAATTCTTCTGTACCAGCAATACTAACAAAGCCCAATCTGATATTGATCTTCGCTCGCTCAGTCTATTACACTTTCCTCCTCCTACCTTTCCTCGAACTAACAACCTCATATTCCTTCTAATGTCCTCATAAAATTAGCGGATTCTCCCTATATCCTTTATAGCTTTCTATTACAATAGCTTCAGCTCACTTTACTTAACATTTTTGGTACTTCATTTGGACAGTAGTGATATTGTGTTGCACAGCTGTCTCCTGCTAAACAGTAATGGCTACTGATAAAGCTCTTCACTTTTCCTTGAGTGGGACATTAGGAGTTTCATGAAAATTGGAAGCTGAGTAGAAGAAACACTGTTAAGGATCCAAATATTATTCTTCTGTCATATTTGGTTGAAAGTAGTTAAAACCCAGAAGGTGAAAACAAAGGCTGCGTAATCATATATCCCTTATTTTCTTTGGGAAATGAAGCTAAAAAACCATGCTTGCTAGATACTTCATACCAAATCCTTTCTCTTTTTTATCCATATTGAAATTAAAGTACAATCTCACTCACTATTCTCTTGAGAAATCATTTCTATCCAGAAGAGACTGTGATCTAAAGACCACAGAGGCTTCCAGTCACATTGGTACACAGGAAAAGAAAAGAACAGAACAATGAAAGGTCATCAAGAAGATGAAGATTAGCCTCATATTTGCAAACAAGGACATTTTTAAACAGTTGTTTCTTATGTACTGGAACGTGCAACTGCTACAAACTCAGGCATAAATGTGGAGCATACGTGAACCTCCCCACCTATTTTCATTCATGTTGAGAGTCTCTGACTGAAAAGTGAAATAGGCAGATGGTTTTTTGAGTTTTTATGGTCTGTGGAAGACACATAGTTTCTATAAATTAAGTATATATACCTATATATATATATATATATATATATATATATATA